CCCCTTGTCTGAACGGCCAAACTGTTCGGGTGAATCTCGGGGATCGGTAAAGGGGCCCCAGGGCACACAAATAAATACACACAAATAAAAGTATTCCCCATATTTTCCCATATTTTGAGGGTTTTCGTCTTCCCCCCCCCACTTCCCATAGTTTCCCATATCTTCTGGGGAATCGAGGATTCATTGTGCCTGTGTGTTTTTTTCCCTCCCGAATCGGAGAAGAAACGTCACCTGCGGTCATCCCGCGCCCTTGACAAATCCCCCCACGAGTCCCCAAAAGCCTCTGCGACCCGACCCAGGCGCAGTGGCCGGATGGGCCCGAGGGGGAGGGAGGGAAGGGGGGGGAGGGGAGGGGAGGGATGACGCGGCGGGGGGGGGGGGGAGGCAGGGACGGAGGGAGTGAGGGAGGGAGGGGGAGGGAGGAGGAGGGAGGGGAAGGGGGGGGGAGGGAGGGGAGGGGAGGGGAGGGGAAGGAGGGAGGGGGGGAGGGGGGGGACGGGAGGGGAGGGGGGGAGGGAGGGGAGGAGAGGGAGGGGAAGCAGGGAGGGAGGGTGCTTCTCGCATATGAAAGCTGGCACCGCCTCTCGCCTTCGGCCCCGCTGTTCCGCCTCTCGCGCCCGCGCGCGCTCCACATCTCTCTCGCGGGGTCGGCGGGCACGGCCGCGAGGCCCCTGCAGCACGCGCAAGGCGCCAAGAGTCGTGACGCGCGATACGACCCCCCGCCCTCGAAAAGTTCCACGGGAACGAAAGATGACGTAAGCATGAAAACTCGAAGGTCTGCGCGGACTTCTGGGATCGGCGCTGGACCCCCCTCCCTGGCGGGCGGAGCGCGCCAGGGGCGGCGCCGGAGGCGCCGCCAGGGGGGTTCAGCGCTGATCGCGCCGCCAGGGGGGTTCAGCGCCGATCCGAGACCTCCGCGCGGACCTTCGAGTCTTTGTGTTTGTATCATTCTTCGTTCCCCTACGTTCGCACTCGATGCCCCAAAGACCTGGGGGGCGGGCGAGGGTCCTGGCCGTGGGTGGGGTACGCGATCCCGGCCTTGCCTCTGCTGCACCCAGATGCCCCGGGGGGGCGGGCGTGGGCTCCTGGCCGTGGGCCTGGTATACGAGATTCCCCCCCTTGGAGGGTGGCTTCCTGCATGCGGAACGTGGCCCCGTGGGCTGGCCTCTGACTGAGGTGGGGAGGGGGTGGTACACCAAAGGAGCCCCAAGGATCGACGCCCGCGACGGCTTCGCTCTCGCGGCGGAGCCCGTGGCCTGCACACCCGCCCGCTCGACCAGTCGGCGACCTGTCGGCGACCCGCCTGCCCCGGCAGTGGCGTTGGCAAATCGGGGGCGTCCAAGAGGGCGGCGGCCAAGAGGGGAGGGCGCAAACCATGACCGGCGGCACGTGCGCGGCCCAGGGGGGATGCGGGGGACAGATTGAGATAAGAAGGGGCATCATGAAGTCTGAGGAGATCTCATGGCCCCCGCCATGACATCCCCCCCCCAATCATCACCCCCCTCTGTGTCGCCCACGCACAAAGGGGATGCCAATGGTGGACTAAACATGCCCGGGACCTGCATACGGCCTGCCTGCGACCCACCCGCGGCACTGATCCATTGAAATCGTTAGCACCCGCGTGCGATCCGCCGTCGACCCTGGGATGCCCTGAAGGCCACGGGGCGCGGCGATCGACGAGTGCGAACCCCTGCGCCCGCCCGGCCACTCGGTTTCCAGCCAGGCCACTTCGCCCGTACTCGGACCTGCGGACTCATAATTCCAGATGCCCTGCCAGCTGCGATGATGAAATAGCCAGGCTACGTACGGCACTCGTGTGTCGCAGCACCCCAGGCTGCCAGGCTGTGGTGATGTTTGGTCAACACAGGAACTAGCTGAAGCTCAGACTCTGCACCATGAGGGCTGCGTTTCATGCGCAAGCCCCAGCTCGACAGGTGGTTCGGGCGAGGACGATGCGGGTGCAGCCTCTACTACCTTGAACATTTGATCTCTTATGCTGGGGGCTGTGACCATTTGCCTTCGAGCCTTAGCTGCAGTGGCCCCGAAACGCTGCAATAAGGCCCACCACGAGTCTCTCGAGTGGGCCCCGCCAGGGCCCGAAGAGGGCTCGGGAAGGCCCAGATAGCACGTCCGAACAGACTCCTCCAACCCCCAATACGATTCAAGCAGATCCCGAGACGGTCTAAAAGGGCCCCGAGACGCTCAAACGACGACCCACGAGGCCCCAAGAAGGCCCCCGAAGGCTGCCCAAAAGGACCCCTAATAAGCTCCCAACAGATATCGAAGACACCCCAAGCTCGTTCCAGGGCCAGAGCATGACTTGCGTACAGTAGGAGCTCGACCACAAGAAACCTTGCACAAGAAACCCAGCCCTGAGACCCCAGGACGCCCATTGATTGTTGGTGTGGGAACGTCGCGCTCTCACCGAAACCCAAGAAGCCCAGGGCACCCTGGAGGCAAGCAGGGTGTTTCTTGGCATGGGTTTCCACTGTAAAAGCCGCACCTTCTGAGGCAGCAGTAACAGCACCATCGTCTGCTCCAGGGCCGCCAGCAGAAGCCGCAGAAACAGGAGCTACACCCCAAGACCAGGACCAGGGATAACTAGTGGGAGAGCAGAAAGAGCAGCAGCAGGTCGGAGGGAGTGCGCGCGGAGGAGGGTGGTTAGGAAGGGGAGGTGTAGAAGGGGTGCGGAAACGACCTTCTAGACCGCGAGGCCGACTGCTATCCCCTTTCCCTCTCATTTCCGGTTGAAGTGCCACCTGGTCTCGTCCCAGGGGCAAACAGAAGAGGGGGGCAAAAGGCAAGAGGCTTGGCAAGGGTCGAGTAGGGGATCGACTACAGGATTGATTTACCCCATAATTGGTTTGCTCGTCGAACCTACGAAAAACGCAGATTGCTACGTAGATCTCGACGAGGAAACAAATTTTGGGTTGAATCAATTCGGTAGTAAATCTCCTACTCGAAAGGGAGATTGGAGGATGGAGGAGGGAGGACCAGGGAGAAACCGGAGGCGCCGACCAAATGTTTCAGGGATCACCTCCAATTGAGAGGGACAAATCCCAACCTAACGAACGCAGGCAAAGAACTAAGTCGTTGCCTAGACAGAGTTCTCCCAGATGGAGTCCGAGTAGATGGAGTCGAAAGATCTCGCCGCATGGCCAATGCACCGCCGATATATACATATATATACATATATATATATATATGGGCGATGCATCGGCGATGCATCGGCGACGTCGGCGAGGGGAGACGCGGGCTCTTCGCGAGCCGCATCGTCGATGCATCGGCGATGCGGCGCGATCCTCCGACCCCCTCCGCTCAGACCCCATCCGGGAGGCCTGCACTAAAAGCACGCGCGTACGACCCTGAACTGATCATGGCCGGCCTAAACTTCCCGTGTGCTGCTGCCTAGCTGGGCACGCGGATATACGCTCAACAGCACGGGCCGCCGAGCCCTGACAGGTCAAACGGATGGGCGCCTGCAGGGTACAACAGCACCCGTCCTCCCGATTCCCCTCTCTCGCCCATCCTCCCTCCTGCTGCAGGACTCCTGCTTCGCATGCGCATGCGAGGGTCGACCCCGGAGACACGCGACACCCGGCGCTGCGAGCCAGGTGGGGCAATCAGACTTCGCTGATCCGTAGCTGTACAAGAGAAAGGCCTGGTCACGTCGCGAGGGAAGCGAGGCGATTCAAACCGGCAGTGCCAGGCCGAAACGCATCTGGTCCACGACACACCCTCCTTCCGAAAAGTTGCCCTCACCAGGGTGACCGTAACGGCTCGCGGAAGTCCAGATGCGGCGGGCCTGTGGCTTTATACCATTTCAAAAGGAAAGGCCCGAAAACCCGCGCTCAACGGCGCGGGCTGCCGGGAACGAACGCTCAACAGGCCGCCGTCGTCGTGCTTGCAGAAAGAACAGTTTCACCTTCAAGGGTCCACAGAGCAGTCAGCTCTGATAACCTCACCATCTTAAAGACGAACCTCGAAAGATACAGAACGAGGGCGAGTCCAACGGTGCTGGCCCGGGGCGAGACGCGAAAAAACGATAGAGGAGACAGAATCGGAGAGAGGAGGTGGCGGGCGAGGTCGGATGTGCATCAGGAAGACCAGTGCAGACCCAAGACTCATCAGAGATGTTGTAATCAACCCTCCCTCCAAATTCCCCCTTAGTAGGTCCGAACAAGATTCAGATTCACTGAAGGGAGTACCTCGTTGGAAGACAATCGTTCGAGAACCCCGAACCATGCCAGAACACCCTTCTGGGGACTTCAGCACCGCGAATCAACGACACTGTTGCGCCCTGACAGTCCTACACCGTGCCCAGTCTGGGACGTCAGCCATACAAATCTGTGGAACTGCTGTAACTATTCAAACGAATGCGCGCGGCGCTCAGGCGAAAACCACACATTGAAAAAGTACCGCCCACCATCCATGAAGCTCTTGCAAACTTTTGAGACGAACGTGCAGGGAGGTAAGACGAGAGCCATATTTTGGATACGGGCCGCCCTCCATCCGCGAAACCCTTGCGCCTTGCATGTTTTCAGCTGCCTGCGCGCGGCGGTGGCGAGAACCACGTTTTGAAAGCAACCCGCCCTCCATCCGTGAAGCTCATGCAAACTTGTAAGACGACGAATGCACGCGGCGCCAAAGCGAGAACCACTTTTTGAAACCAACCCGCCCTCCATCCGTGAAACTGTTACGACTTAGATACCAATTTCAGGATCAGAAGCGGCGAGGAAGTCCCAAGCAAATCGCCCGGCCCGCCCTACCAACACTTCCTGGGGCGCGACAGGGAGGAGTGATGTAGAAGGACGAAGGATGGAGGAGGAGGAGGGAGGAGGGAGGGGAAAGGAGGGAGGAGGGAGGAGGGAGGAGGAGGAGGAGGCGGAGGAGGATAATGAGGAGGAGACGAGCGTACAGGGAAGGAGGAGGAGGAGGAGCAGGAGGAGGAGGAGGAGCAGTATCTGTGGCGAAGGCGGAGAGGACGAGGAGGAGGGTGCCGTGGGCGAGAAAAGGAGGCCGAGAGCAAGAAGGAAAGATTGCCAGCACCGAAGCCCCCCAACCCTCTACACAACACGATCTCTCGCAGAGCAAAAAGAGCACCCGCGCACCGATTGCACCACGGAGTGCCCGTCGGAGCGCGAGAGCACGACGCGGGGCGTTGTGGTCAGCACAGGTGGAAGTACATGTCGTTCTGGCTCCGCATCTCCGTGGCAACCACCAGCAACACGCACAGGGACGGGCACGGGTTGCAGACCACAACCTCGCCAGGGTTTAGAGGCTTGGAAATGGGCACCAACACCAACACAGGGGGGTGCCTCCACTGGGGGAAGACGATCCTAATTTCTGGTGGTGGTGGTAGTACTGTTTCGGCCACCTGCGAAGCCTGAAGGGATCATCTTCCCTCGGTGGAGGCACACCGCCAATATTGGTGTTGGTGTCAACCGCTATGCCTCCGATGGGGTGGCTGCAGGAGTAAGATGAGGGAGGATAGGACCACGCGTCGTCGAGAACGCCAGAGCTTCTGCCAACCTGGGAACCTCTGCTCGGCTCTACTCGACCAGCTATCGACCTTCGGCTGGGAGTCCCTGCTCCCGTACACGACGGGCTGCAGACCACAGCAGGGGATTCCCACTAGCCCTCTGGGCGTAGGAGATTTCACGAGCACTTGTCTTCTTTCTTCTAACCGTAGTCCCTCCTTCCCCTGCCCCGGGGAGGGTCTTATCACTGCTCCTTGTTGAAATCACCCCCTCCCCCACCCGACTGTGGGACAACCCGAGACATGTCCCCCCCACCCCCCTCCCCTCCCTGTCACAGAAACAATGCAGGATGCAATTTGCCCCCAAATCTGGAGCATGCGCGGGCACACCGCAACCATATTGTGTTGGTTTTTGTCAAGAACGGCGGGGTTGCCGTCATATTGCTCGCTGCGCGCAGGCCAACCATCCCTGTCAACAAAAACAGTACCGAATGCACTTGCGGGCCCACTGGCTTTTTCTGTCCCTCTTGTGCCCATCCGTTCTCAACTGCACCCGCCAGAGGCGCAAATCCTTCGCGTGCAGGACTGAGTCGGCTATCCTTGATTTTTCTGCGCACGAGATACAGGCGCAACAAGAACCGCTTTTGATATCTGATCAGCGTCACTAGGAGGAGGGAGAGGAAGACCCTGAGATCCGACGCTCAAACCACACTGAGACATTGCGAGGATTCGCGACCAGAGCCCCAGACCCCGTCTTGCTGCTACAGGTTTCGAGCCATATCGAGAGAGCCCCGGGGCCGGAAGCTGGGCGACGACGCACGGTGAGAAAATGCCGCGCCCGGATCTCAGGGGAGGAGGGGGAGGAAGAGGAGGAGGAGGAGGAGGAGGACGACGAAGAGGCGGAAGAGGAGGACGACGATGAGGTGGAAGCGGTCGGGGACGCACGTTTACCAGGGTCAGCACAAACGCGGGTCGGCCAGGGCCCTGTCGAGAAGCCTGGCCGGCAGCTCAGCAGCTCCAAAACGCGGGTCAGCGAGAGGGCGACTGGGGGGAATCGGCCTCACGTGACTCCCCAACCCGTGTCCACCAGAGGGAGTTGGCTGGCCTTTTTTAGCCCTGACCCCCGGTACGTGCGCCCCGAAACGGTGTGAGCCTGGGATTCCAGGCGAGGAGAAGGAGAAGGGAGATGAAAATGCTGATGCTGATGCTGATGCAGATGATGGTGATGGTGACGATGATGACAATGACAACAATAATGATTAAGTATGATGATATTGAGGAGGATAAAGAGAGAAGATAATGATGATGATGATGATGATGATGATGATGATGATGATGATGATGATGATGAGGATGGGGATGAGGATGACGATGATGATGATGATGATGATGATGATGATGATCATGATGATGCTGATGATGATGGTGATGATGATGCTGATGATGATGATGATGATGATGCTGATGATGATGATGATGATGATGACGATGATGATACTGATGCTGATGCTGATGATGATGATGATGATCATGATGATGATGATGATGATGATGATGATGATGATGATGATGATGCTGATGCTGATTCTGATGATGCTGATGATGATGACGATGATGATGCTGATGATGATGATGATAACGATGAGGAGGAGGAGGAGGAGGAGGAGGAGAAGAAGGAGGAGCAGGCGGAGGAGTAAGGAGGCACAAGCAGCAGCAACGGGCCGCGTGGCCTCGCTCTCTTCCAACGCCTCCGTGGGCACGCGCACCGCGTCCAGGCGGCCCGCGGCGGCCACCGGTCGCCCGCTGGCCGTCTTGATGAGCACCGAGCCGTCCAGGACCACTAGGAGGAGGTCCACTCCAGGCCTTGCGGCGGGGGAGGAGCTCCTCCTCTTGGGTTCGGTCGGGCATGTCCTCCTGCAGGCGGATGTTGGACGACAGCAAAAAAAACAGAATCAGCAAGTCCTCAAACATGGTCAAAAACAGTGCAGCAAGAATCCCCAGGTTAGGTTTGGACAATTTTTGAGCGTTCCTCCTGTAGAGGGCCGTGCCCGATTTAACTCGTGGGTTGACCCCAAGGGGGGTCCAGCTGAAGGGGGGTGGTGCAACAGGTTTGGGCCAATTGTATTGCACATGCATTGCGCCAGAAAATCTGATTACATTGTATTGCAACTAGCGCATTGCAAGTGAAAACCCAGCTATACATCTGCGCACCGGAATGCATTGTACGGTCCAAATCTATCGCAACCCCACAAATCTACTGCACCAAATCTATTGTACCGCCCCCCTGTCGCTGGCCCCTTGCTTGGGTCGACCAAATCCACCTTCGCTAAGATCCGAGAGTTGCAATTTTCATACTGGGCGTCGTCGCCCAGTTTCGGACCTCTGGACCCTCACAGATCGCTCCAGCTTGAACGAGGTAGCGGGAAGATGGTGTTTGGGGCTCCGGTCGTGACTTCTCGCGATGCTGTATGTGCTTGCCACGTCGGATTTTCAGGGCCCTCCTCCCCCGTACCCTCCCTCCCTCCTTCTCACCCCCACGCTGACGCTGTCGGTGTCCACCGCCGCCATGCCCGCCCCCCCAGGGGCGGTCGCGGTCGCCCCTGGAAGGGTGATGAGCGAGATGGGGTGAAGGATCGGGAAGGAGGAGGAGGAGGAGGAGGAGGAGGAGGAGGAGGAGGAGCCCCTGGGAGGGTGATGCGCGAGATGGGGGGGGGGAGATCGGAGAGGGGCCATGCCGAGACAACGGCGGACCTCCCGGAGTTGCTCCGTCCCTGTGTCGGGAGGGGAAGCAACGCCCAGACACAATGAATCGTCGACTCCTCCTCCTCCTCCTCCTCCTAGCCCTTTCGATCAGGGTCGGCGGCACCGGCCGTCAGGCCTCTCCAATGCGGGAAAATATGGGAGGTGGGGGGGAAGACGAAAACCCAGAAAATATGAGAAAACTTAGGGCATCATTTTATTTGTGTGTGTATCTAATTTTGTGTGTCCTGGGGCCCCTTCATGTTGAGCCTCCCGGAGATATTCCCTCCGTTCCTGGGCCTCCCGGAGGCCTCTCGTCGCCACGGCCGGCTCCGCTCCGAGGAACGGGACAGCGGCTGGACCTCGGGAGCGGTCTGGCGACCGACTCGGAACGAGCTTGGGCCAGGGCGGAGGAGGGAGTGGGTCGGGGGCGGCAAAGAGGGGGGGCGTCCAAGAAGGGGGGGTGCAAATCATGGCCGGCGGCATGTGCACGGCCCAGCGGGGGGGCCAGGGACGTAATGAAATAAGAAGAGGCGCCATGAAATCTGGGGAAATATCATGGCCCACGCCATGATATCTACCCCCCCCTAGTCATCACCCCCCTCTTTGCCGCCCCCGGGTGGGGGAGGGCGGTGCCAGGTGGAGCAGGAGAGAGGGGGCAAGGAGAGAGGAGCAGGGGTGCGGGGCCACCAGCGGGAGAAGGATGGGGGAGGAGGATCGGGAAGGGAGGGAGACAGAGGAGGACGAGAAGGGCGAGAAGGGATGGAGAGGAGGAGGATGGGAAGGAGGCGGAGCAGGAGGGCGGCGAGGTCGATGACGAAGGAGTGGAAGGATGAGAAGGGTCAGCAGGAGGACGACGGCGAAGAGGGATGAAGGGACATACACAGCTGGGACAAAAGTTTCTCCAATCTGCCATGATGGTATCTCCGATCCCTCTAAAGATTCCTAACATGACATGATGGCTGCGTCATTCGGCGGTGGAGCTTTCCGATCCGCCGAAAGCTTATGACTCTCTATAGCCCCAAAACGGGATGGGAAACTACTCCGCTCCAAACCCTATGAGTTCTCGAGCGGGGTGCGCCCACGAGCGGAGCAGTTGGAGCATCTCAGCTCCGAATTACTCCGCGCTGATGCGGCATTGGCGAAGGCAGACTGACAGGAACTTTCGCCACGGGGATGTATTAAGGAGGACGCCAAGACTGAACACGTCCTGGTGTTCGGTGTATTCGGTTGGACGGCAGTAGAGTCGGGAGGGCCACGCAGGCCTGCGCGGCAGGCTCTTGGATCCCTCAGGCTGTATGGTCTTCCAGAACATCTCGATGAAGGGGGCCTTGCCATCGGGCGTCTTGACGTTAGTCATGCGACACTCCATCGGGCGCTGGTCTCGGGAGGAGGATGAAGGGGCCGAGGCGAAATAGGCGGAGAGGGATGACAGGAAAGAGGAGGAGGAGGATGAGGACGTTGAAGATTGAGAAGAGGATGATGAAGATCAGTGGGTACGACGAGAGATACAATGAGGATAAGACGGGCACGTGGAGAAACAAAGCAAAGCTGAGGAGGACAGAGATGGGGACCATTGAGAAGACAAGAAGGATGAACAGGCACAAGGAAGACGGAGAGGAGAAGGGAAGGAGAGAGAGGGGACAAGGGAATGGAGGAGGAGGAGGGGGAGCAGGAGGGGGATGCCGAGGAGTAAAAATGGGTGCCCGAAGACGGGCAGCTGATGAGGGCAGAGAGGAAAGATGATGGGGCAAATGTTCTGCCGCCGTCCTCCAAAACGGTGCAGATAGGGGAGCATGTCGTCTGGCCCCATGCTCCTCAGCGGCCAACGCCAGCCCGACATCTCCCATCGCCTGCTCATCATCCTCATCATCGGCCCAGCTCCTTAATCATCGTCCCGTCTTTGTCATCCTTCTTCTCCTCCTTTTCCTCCTTCGCCACCTGTCTCCTCCTCCTCCTCCTCCTCCTCCCTTCTTGACCTCTTTTCGCTTCCTCCTCCTCCTCCTCCTCCTCCTCCTCCTCCTCCTCTTTGTCATCATTCCTCCTTCCCCCTCGTCGCTCCCCTCCTCAACCTCATCTTCACCCCCCTCCTCCTCCCTCTCCCCCTCCTCTCCATCCCCTTCCCCCACTGTCCCCCTCCCCGCGCTCCTCCAGTCCACACTGCCCGCGTCCGCCGCCAGGTCAGAAGTCGGTGCGACGAGGTGCGCGTACTTCAGCAGCACGCCGTTGTCGTCGCACTCCGCCCCGTGCTCGCGGGCCTCAGCGACGACGTTCGGCGCCCACGTGATCCAGGACTTGCCTGGAATGACACGAAGCCCAACCCCGAGGATTTCTTTCAAATTCGCAGGCCCACCGGGCCAGAGGCGTGCTGAGATCTCTGGTAACTCATTCTAGTTCGTGCGCGCGAAGCAGTCCCTGGGGGTCCATGGACGAAAAATACCCTAAACGAAGCCCGGGCACTGCGGGTCAGAGATGGCCGTCCTGCCGTGTGCGGCCTTTCGGGCGCCCCAGAGTGCTCCAAGGGGACCCCGAGAGGCCCCCAAGACGCTCCAAGAGGGCTCCGAGTCGCCAGCGGATCCGTCCCAGACGCCCAAGATGGCCTCCAGACGGCCGAAGGCACCTCCAAGACGCACCAAGAGGCCTCCAAGAGGCGCCCCAAGAGGGCCCCTACACACACACACACACACACGTACGGATGTATGTATGTATGTGTGTATGTATGTATGCATGCATATATGTATGTATGTAGGTATGTATGTATGTATGTTTGTCTGTATGTATGTATGTATGTATGTATGTTTGTATGTAGTTATGTATGTATGTACGTACGTACGTATGTATGTATGTATGTATGTATGTATGTGTGTATGTATGTATAGATGTATGCATGTATGTATGTATGTATGTATGCATGTATGTATGTATGTATGTATGTATGTATGTAGGTGTGTATGTCTGTATGTATATATGTGTGTATGTGTGTATGTCTGTATATGTATGTATGTATGTATGTATGTATGCATGCATGCATGCATGCATGCATATATATATAATATATATATTATATATATATATATATATATATATATATATTCTCAAGAACCATACATCTCCCTCAAATGTTTAAAGGATTTGGGCGTTCTCGCGCTTTCGGCTGTCTCGAGCTCAGAGACGGCCCAAGATCGCCCCCAGAGGCTTTAAACATGGCCCCAGAACTGCCCAAGAGGGACCCAAGATGGCCCAAGAGTTCTCCAAGACTGCCAAGAGGCCCCCAAGACGGCTCCAACTCAGACGGGGGACCCGAGCGGATCTTCCCAGCTCTCGGCCCCCCTGGGGCCCCAAGATGCCCCAAAGAGGTCCCAAGAGCCAAAGAGTCCCCAAGAGGCCTCCAGAAAGACCCCAAGGAGGCCCCAAAGGGACCCCAAGAGGCGCCGAAGAGGACCCCAAAATGCCCCAAAGAGGTTCCCAGAGGCCCCCGTGAGGCACCAGGAGGTCAACAAAAAATACCGCCAGGAGGCTCCTGGGAGGCCTCCCATGGACCCCAAGGAGCCTTCTGCTACCGCCCCCCCCCGAGCATGTACAACTCGTACGAAGGCGGACCCAGGATCCCGCAAGACTCGTCGTAGAGTGGACCGAATGAAATCCAACATCCTCGCAAACAGCAGCGCGCCCTGCCAGAAATTCCAACGTAGCCGCAAACGGACCCCAAACAAGTACTGGAATGGCCCAACAGGGGAATTCGATGGGTGACAAGCTCAACTCAATAGGTGACAATCCAAACTCACGAAGGCGCCACATGCCCATGACGGCTCCCAACCAAGCCGCCAAGAAACTACTACACAGGAAGTGCTCCGCCTCCAGGACTGCTGACGTAACGCCGCTGGAAAGCGACACCCGCCCAGCAACGCAACATGCGCAGCATGGGCAACGACCGCGCGGGCAAAAGCCAGCGGTGCCACATTGGGGGCAGAAGCTGGATGAACCTAAGCTTCGGAGGGTCCACGCGCATTTCTTGGATCGACGGCGGAGGAGGAGAACAATAATAGAGAACGAAGAAGTGACATAAACATTAACTTTTGCAGGTCGGCGCGGATTTCTTGGATCTGGCCTGGACCCCCCTCCCTGGCGCGCGGAGCGCGCCAGGGGCGGCGCCGGAGGCGCTGCCGGGGGGCGGGGGGGGCCAGCGCGGATCCAAGAAATCCGGGAGGAGCGCTCAAAGTTTATGTTTATACCATCTTCTGCGCCTCGACAGAAGCAGGAGGCGGGATTCCTCCTCGTCTCATCTCATCAGCCTCACCCCTCCCCCCCTCTCTAGAGCATGGACCATCAACATGCGTTTGGGCGCCCGAGTTATCCGGGGTAACTCGGGTCCGGGGTAACTCGGGTTTGGATTCCCGAAAAAGGAACCCGAGTTAGCCCTGACCCGAGTTACCCCTGATGATGTGGGGCTCTGGACGCCCGAACTATCCGGGGTAACTCGGGTCCGGGGTAACTCGGGTTCGGATTCCCGACAAAAGGAACCCGAGTTATCCCTGACCCGAGTTACCCCTGATGATTCGGGGCTCTGACCTCCCTCTAGAGCATGGACCATCAGCATGCGTGTGCACTTCCGGGGATCCGCGCGGACGGCTTGGCTCGGCGCAGGAGCCTCGCCCCCATGGGGCGCGCCGGCGCGCCACGGGCGGCGCGCCGGGGCCCGGCGCAGGCCCGGATCCGCGCGGACCTTCGACCGCATACGCTTGGGGCGTGACTTGTCCCTAACCTTAAGTCGGGCCTGTCCCCCTACAGCCCAATTCTGGGGAACAAAATCATACATATCAAAATAATATTCTAAAAAATGCTCAAACATGGTGAAACAATAGTCCCCTAACTGATTTGTTACTATTTTTGAATTCCCCCCCTGTAGAGGGACACGCCCGACTTAATCCTAACCGATCCCCGCCGTGTCGGCCTCCGAATGCCGCTATGTCGGCCCCCCTGATCACCTTACAACCATGCGGAGCGAAACACAAGCCCAAGCACAAGGGTGCAGAGCCCCAGGGACCACAAAAGGAAACACGATCCTGTTCGATGTCTGGGCGTGCACATGCTTGGCGGCGCGCACAAAGGGGGCCGGGGGAGGGGGGGAGGCTTCTTAGAAGGAGCCTGCCTTACATCTGAACAGAAGGCCCGCGCCTTCAGAGAAGCAGGGGTGCTTCTAAGAAGCCTTCCCCCCTCCCCCATACCTCTCTCTGCGCGTGGCCGGCATGCACCGATCCTTGTCAGGCCACCTCCAGGCGCAGGATCTGCTAGCACGCCCGACCAGCTTGGCCAGGGAGGCCATCTGCACCGATCCTGGGACCAGGAGTGGCCTGGCCGAGAGCCGCGTGCCAAGGGGCCTGCCCAAATTGTTGGCGGCGCGCAGAGGGGGGTCGGGGGAGGGGGGAAGGCCTCTTAGAAGGAGGCTGCTCCATAGAAGCCGCGGGCCTTACGTCTACAGACGAGGCCCACGCCTTCTAAGAAGCAGGGGTGCTCCTGAAAGGCCTTCCCCCCTCCCCCGACCCCCCTCTGCGCGTGGCTGAATGTGGGTCCGAGTATTCAGATGGGGTCGGAGGACGGCGCAGCATCATTCATGCATCGGCGACGTCGCATGGAGAAAATCCGCTCCACATCGAGCCGCATCGCCGATGCATCGGCGATGCGGCGCGATCCTCTGACCCCATCCGCTCGAACCCCCTTTGGGCGGTCCGGAGCATCGTAGGTGTGTGGTTGGCAGCCCCTCGGCTGCCGGGCAGGATGGTCATGATGTTCTGCGCGGTCTGCTCCTCGATGTTCTTGTACGAGTGGCAGACCCGCGCGGGCACGCACACGAAGTCCCAGGGCTCGAGCACCACCGTGTGCTCCCCGTGCATGCCCCAGGCGATCTCCCACTTGCCGTCGAGCGCGACGAAGATCTCGATGGACCGGTGCATGTGCAAGGCGTTGCCGTGGCCGGGGGGGACCATGTTGTACGTCATGTTGTACCTCGGCGGCGCCCCGCCCACGGCCGCTGAGGTGGGGGCCGGCCCGCTCGGAGAGGAGGCAGGGGGGTCCGTGGAACGATCTGGAGGCTTCCAAGAAGTCGTCTGGCAGTTCTCGTTGGGCAGGGACTGACCGTCCCGGCATTGCTATAGGCCTACCACGACATGTTCTCAGAACAAGGGGATGTCCGAATAACAAAAGTAATGCGCTTAGAACCTAGGATGCCGATGGATGAGAACAAGACAGTCTCAGCAGGAGATGTGCTGAGAAGATATTCGTGCGAACCGTACACGGATTTCAGAACATTATTCGGTGGACCCACGGCGAGCCAGGACGCTTCGCCACTGCTTGATCCCTGGATCCTTCCATGGGACGGGCGAGGACGAGGTCTTGACTAGAGGAACAAAGAAACACACACACACACACATAAACAGAAACTTGTGGAGGCCCGTGCGGATTTCTTGGACCTGCGCTGGCCCCCCCTCCCTGGCGCGCGGAGCGCGCAAGGGGCTGCGCCGGAGGCGCCGCCAGGGGGGGCCCAGGGCAGATCCGAGAAATCCGCGCGGAGCGCCAATGGTTGATATTTATGGCATTCTGTTCTTCTTCGACTGACGCGAGAGGCTCAATAAACGTCCCAGGAATTCTGGAGTACCTGGCGGCCCCCGCTTCTGCAGCCCATGCTCGGCTCGGCGACCAGCCCGGGGGGGGGAAGGAGAGTGGTCTGGCCTTCTCAGAAGGCTCGGAGGGCTTCTGAGAAGCCCCGCCGCCTTCTGAGAAGGCCTTCTCCTTCTCCCTTCCCCCCCCCTCGCTCGCCGCCAGCCTGTGGAGCGTTAGGACAATCAGGGGGATCCTGGGTGTCTTGGAACGCATCATCATCATCATCATCATCATCATCATCATCATCATCATCATCATCATCATCATCATCATCATCATCATCATCATCATCATCATCATCATCATCATCATCATCATCATCATCATAACCTCTTGCTCCTCGGGCTCCAAGGAGCTCTCCGCCTCTTCACGAGGCCGTCCCCCGCGCTCTACGTCCCCTGGCTGTCGCGCCCTCGAGCACCCCATCTTCTCCCTGAAGGCCATGGGCGCGTGCGGGTTCGAGACGATGGCGCCGAAGTGCAGCTGCGTCAGCCGCCGGCACCTGAACGACGAAAACAAGGGGCCTTACGCGAGATGGCATGGCGACCTTACGCGGTGGCTTCTGCGGACCACCAGCGCGGCACGCTACGCTGGAAGCGAGGGCGCTTACTCGCGTATTTACGCGCCAGTGTCGGCGCAGACGACCCCCATTTCATGTGTCGCGCACCTGGGGATGAACGTGTCCAGGATGGAGGCGTCGAACTGCGGAATCTGGGAGTACCTGGCGACCTCGAGCCCCTCCTGCGGGGCGAGAACTAGACGTCATGATGCGCTTGGCTCAGGATAGAGCGCGCGTTTTTTTCTGGATGCTGGCAAAATCGCGTGCGTGGCCGTCCTGCTCGTCGCCCGCCTCGTCGGCCTCCGCCCGGGGGGGCCGGCCCGCCACGGCCGGCGAGCGGCATCGGCCCGAGGTTCGAGGAGGAGGCCCTTCGCCATCTCCCCAGCCCGCTGTGGGCCCCCCTGGGCTCCTCCTCCTCCTCCTCTTCCTCCTCCTCCTCCTCCTCCTCCTCCTCCTCCTCCTCCTCCTCCTCCTCCTCCTCCTCCTCCTCCCCCCTCCCCCTGCCCCTCGCCTCGTCTCCAGTGAGCGCTGGGCCAAAAAAGGGAGCGCGAGAGAGTCACGACTTGCCCGAGGTGCAAACTTCCTTACGGGCCTCGCACTGCCACCCTCAGGCCGGGCATATCCTCCTACAGGCGGACATTTGGGCGACAAATGGGAAACATGTAAAACAATGTTTAAAATAGCCTACAAATAATCGATCGTCCCGAGACTATTCTTCGACTATTTTTGAATATATTCCTCCTGTAGCCCTTTCGTGCAAGAAAACTTGCCAAGGCCGAAACCAAAAACAGCCTTGTGGCTGAGGATACGTCCAACAAAAATATGGAGGATCTGGTGGCCCTCGCTACCGGAGCACGTGCGGATAATAGGGGGTCCTGGAAATCCTGGGATCTGGGAAGTCCTGGAACGCATCATCATCATCATCATCATCATCAGCAGCAGCAGCAGCAACAACAACATAATCATCATCATCATCATCATCATCATCATCATCAGCATCATCATCACCACCACCATCTCCGTAGCCATTTTGGCTCAAGTCCGTAGCCCTTTCGGGTCAGGACCTGGCCTCACTGGCAAGGGGGGAGCAGCGGCCCCCACAGTGCTCCTCCTCGTCTGCCAGGCCAGACGAGGGATTTTGGCTTCTCCTGCTCTCGAGCTGCTGTGGCATGGTCTCCGCGCCCCCGCAGCCCCGCTCCCAGAGCAGACACCAGACCCGCTCCCAGAGCGGCTACAAGACGTGCTATGGCAAGAGCTCATGTGGCTATCAGTATAATCTGGTGGATTGGGCTCGCTGCTATCGTTGCAAGAAGTGGCTCCGCGACGACCCGGTTCGGGACACGGTCAAGGGGCCCCCCCGTCCTTGGTCAGGCGAGCAGCAGTCCAAGGATGCATGGCAACAGGTGGAGTCCACGCGCCGCAAGGCCAAGTCGGGCCCAGGCACGAGTGCTGACCAGTCCCAGTCTGGGAGTGGGAAGGGCGGCTCGGCCCAGCAGCGCAGTGGCAAAGGATCGGACACAGGTGGCAAGCAGACGCAGCGCGACTACCTCGCGGCTGCAGTGGAGCAGCTCACGCTTGCTGGGCTGGCAGACGACCACCCGCTCATGGTGGCCGCCAAGGCTCAGGTGCCCTCCGCTGCTGCTGCTCAGCCTGACGAACGTGGCCCACCGCCATGGATGCGAGTTCGGTCCCATCAGGACAAGCTGGCCCACTTCCAGGGCCAGCTTACTGCGTCGAAGGCGACGGAGGCCAACCTCCGTCAACAGATCACGGAGCTGGAGCAGGACCTGGAGGACTGCGTTGCATCCCAGGCGGCTCTGGCGGAATCGGTCAAGAAGGAAGAGGAGGAGCTCCAGAGGCTCCATCGACGTGCTGCTCTTCACCCTGCTGGTGATGACTGCAAGGCGGCTGTCAACGGGCTGGTGGAGACGCTGTTCGGCCATCTGCCCGAGTCGTTCAGAGTGGCGAAGGCGGACCAGCTCCGCACCGCGGTGGACCTCCTGGGCGACCTGGCTGCGGCTGGGGCCTCTTTCCAGGAGCAGGAGGAAGCACGGCGGAAGGCACAGGCCGAGGAGGCCGCGCAGCGTGCCATGTCGGGCAGCGGCCCTTCGCCAGCCCCAGCGGCACCCTCGGACTCACGTGTGGCGGAGGATTGCAAGCAGCAACTTACTGAGTTGCTGGAGGGCGGACAGGCAGGGCAGTACGAAGGTCTCTACAGGACCATGCTCGAGTTCCTGCAGAACCCTTCAGCCCTCAGCAAGAGGCCCAGGAGGGACGCGCCAGGCCCAGAGGCTGCGGCGGCGGCGGCCCCCTCGGCCGCGCCTGGCCCTGCGGCTGCTGATGTTCCTGCTGATGTTCCTATGCCTGCTGACCGCGATGTCGCTGGTGCCCCACCCCCGTCGGGGTAGCGGGGTCGGCGCTGCAGCTGCTGGGCGCCGCCTGCCTGCGCCCGCCTCACACCGAGGCAGGTGGCGCTCCCTGGCGGCGCGGGCTGGGGCTACTGGCCATCGACGAGTTCGAGGCGAGAGTGTGCAGGAGGAGACTCCTGCGGTGCAGGAGGAGACTCCTGCGGCCCGTCGGCCTGAGGTATGGAAGCTGTGTACGGCCAACATCACCTCGTGGGGCATCGAGTGCGGGGACAGGGGTAAGGTCACGAGAAGGCCCTTCCTGGAGCTCTGCGACTCTGTGGATGCCGACATCTACGTTTTCCAAGAGCACCACCAGACGGAGCTACGTTTGGTGGACGTTCAGCAGGCGCTGGTCAAGGCTGGCATGGTCTCACTCCTCACTCCTGCTGCCCCCTCAGGTCGTTCAGAGGCTGGCACCACTGGAGGAGTGGGCATTGCGACTTCGAAGCTCTGGGGCCTCAAAGGACTCGATGATTTGCCTGAGGGTATCGCGGTTCCTCCTGGATGTCGATTTCGTCTGGGGCTCTGGAGTGGGTTATGTACTGGAGGTGTTTTAGTCGGATCGGTCTACCTGCACACTGGAATCGGCTGCCGCGGTCAAAATCTTTCCTTGCTGCATAGTATTGGGGAGGTCCTGAGGGCGTATGGCATGCCGTTTATTCTGGGTGGAGATTTTCAGTTTTCAGCGGAGCAACTGGTCGAGTCTGGTTGGATTGGGGATCTTCAGGCGGAGGTGGTCTCTGACGTCTCGAATTGGACCTGTCAGTTGGGTACGTCTCGGTCGTCCATCGATTACTTTGTCCTCTCCTCCTCGCTCAAGCAGTTTGTGGTGAGCTGCTCAGTTGCGACATGGTCTACCTGTACCAGACCGCACCGCCCTGTGGTGTTGAGCATGTCTGGCCACCCGCGGCAGGTGACAGTTCCCAGGCTCAAGAAGCCGTCGGCGTTCCCTCTCCACCGCCCTGTTGGATGCGACCCTCGCCCCCTGGAGTGGGATGACTTGCGTGATCAGCTCTCCCAGGGGGATTGTACCAAGGAACGTCTGGATGCTGTCACTTCTCTGTGGGTTCAACGGGCTGAGGTGGCTCTTTCTCGCGTATTTCATGTCGATGGGGATCCACGGTACCGAGGCCGAGGAGGCCCCCCCAAGGTGGTGCAAGTCCCTCTGCTCGGCCCTCCTGCCTCCACTCACCCCAGGGCTATTGGGGAGGGCCGTATGTGGCGTGTCTTGGAAAGGCGACTCCAGGACATCGTATATCTCTGGCATGGGCCTGCGCCCACCTTGGGGGGGATCAAACAAGCGGGGATCCTCTTGCGGAAGCTCGTGAACTACCTGTCCCCCTTCACCGATTGCAAGCATTGGGCTTCTTGGCGAGTTCGGGTTCTGGCCGTCAACCCTGCCAACGTCTCGGAGCTCCAGGAGTTGATCTGGCAGGTCCGCAAGTGGGCCCTTCAGCACGAGCATCATGCGGCCTCGGAGCGGGCCCGAGCCTGGCGTGAGTGGGTTCAAGATGCGTTATCTGGGAGCGCTCGACTGGGCCACCGGTTCACCAAAGAGGTTCCGAAGTGGGCTGCATCTGGGCTCTCTTGTTTCTCGGGGCCGTCTGGTGAGCCTCTGGGGATTGCTGCTGAAGCCGATCTTCGGGCTCAAAAGTGGCATCAGCATTGGGGTGTCGGACAAGTTTTCCCAGAGCCTGATTTTGGTTGGTGCGATGACGAGCCAGAGCTGGAGGCCCCCACCCATGAGGAGCTCTTAGCCCTTACCAGGACCTACAGCACGCACACGGCCATCGGAGTCTGTGGCCTGCATCCCCGTCACTGGTCCTTCCTCGACGACGGCGCTGTCGCGGTTTTCCTTCGGATCTGGGCCGAGATGCAGCGCCTGGTTCACATTCCGAGGTGCTGGGCTCTGCTGCTTATTGCTCTTCTACCGAAGCCGCCGCCTGAAGGGGGAGATCGTCCTATTGGGATCTTCGCGACGCCTCTTCGGTTGTGGTCCCGCTGGGCCCGATGGAAAGTTGCTGGCCCTTGGGAAAAGGCAAACCCTCGCGTGTTCTGGTATGGTGACTCAGGGGCCTCATGTGACATTTGCGTTTGGAAGCAGAGTTTCAAGGCGGAGTTGGCCAGAGACCAGGGCAGAGCGGCAGGGACAACCCTGCTCGACCTGGTCAAAGCATATGAGCACGTGCCCCACCATGTTTTAGCTGCAGCAGCCCGTCGGCACAAGTTCCGAGGTAAGACCCTTCGCTTCCTGCTCGCATCATATTGCCTCGACAGAATGGTGCTCTTCCAGAACATCGCCACGCAGGTGGTGGTGACGCACCGCACGATTGTCGCGGGCTGCAGCTGCGCGACTTCCCTACTGCGTCTGGTGCTCTTGTCGCCAGTGGATGCCGTCTCTCTTCGCTTCGTGAATGTCGAGGTGGCGGTCGTGGTAGATGATCTGCAGTTGCAACGTATTGGCGAGGCATGGGAAGTCGCCAGGGAACTCAAGGGGGCCGAGGACCTATTGGCGGCTGAGCTTACGCAGATCGGCTTGACTCTCTCCCTGCCCAAGAAGCACCAGGTGGTCATCGGCCAAGGCATACGGAAGGTGTTTAGGAAAGTCAACCCGTCCTCGTCGAGGTTCCTCACACGCTCGGTTCGGAACCTGGGGCTGGACTTTGGCGGTGGAAATCGGCTTTCTCATTCGGTTCGTGCACAGCGGCTGGGCAGGATGGCGTCACGGATCCCTCGGTATAAGCGGCTCGCGAAAGCTGGGGGCAAGACGATCAAGCTGGTGCAGACTGGCCTCAAGCCTGGGATGCTCTGGGCAGTGGGAGTTCACGGCATCAGCAACACGCACCTACTGAGCGCCAGGCAACTGGCGCGCGCGGGCATGGTCTACAGGCACACGGGCAGGTCGCTCTCATTGGACCTCATGCTTGCTGGGCCGCAGGTCGACCCCGCCTTCGAGTGCAACAGGAGCCCGATCTTCCTCTGGCTGCAGGCGCTGTGGGACGGATGGGCCCCCAGAGCAGATATGGCGCGACTTCTGAGTGGAGCATGGACACGCCTGTCTAGAGTTCCTGTGTCTCAAGTTTGGTCTGACATTCGCGGACCTGCTTCTGCGCTAGTTGCGACACTTTTGCGGTTGGGTTGGTCTGTAGCTGACCCTTTTCATTGGAAGACCCACCGAGGTCTTCTTGCAATTGAACAGATTTCCCCGAAGGATGGAGGTAGGTTAGTTGATGAGGCCACCGAGCGGTGGGTGTGGCGCCAGGTTCTCGCGAAGCATCCCTCTTGGGTCTCGCCCTGCCCTCATCCTCCTCTCGTGGAGCCCCTGAGGTCCCTCCTCCAGCCTCATTCTGTCCGAGGCCCTGACTGGACCCCAAGGCATCAGGGACTGCTGCGGTGCCTGTTTGCAGGAGGTTTCTGGTCGCAGGAGCGACTGTACGAGTCAGGTGGAGCCGTCAACCCGAGCTGCCTTGCCTGTCAGAGTGCTGGATCTACCTGGCACCGATTCTACGATTGCCCCCTGCATACCGAGTTCCGTCGGGATTACAGAGCTGGCAGTGCCATGGCTGGTCAAATGCTAGACATGGCTCGAGCTGCTGCGGTGGATACCTTGCTTTTCACGCGCTTTCTTGTCCCTGACCCTGCTTGGCTCTTCCCGAGCCCCTGCCTCGAGGAGCGAGTCGTGTGGACGGTGCGGTCTCCCGACTTGCTGCTCGACGTGCACGTGTTCGGTGATGGGTCGGGGAGGCACGGAAGTTTCTCTCGCTTACGGCGCTGCGGATGGGGACTCTGTTCGCTTGACGACAGCAAGCGAGTGGTTGCTCGCCTGCATGGCCCTCTGCCCTGTCTCATTCAATCTGTGCCAGCGGCTGAGCTTTTCAGTTTCTTGATGGCGCTGAGGTATATGGGAGCTCAGATGAAGTTTTATACGGATTGCAAGCCGCTCGTGGATGTCTGGCGCCAAGGCGTTGGAGCGGGCACCGCTGCGAGTGACCCGCTTGCCTTACTTTGGAGGGAGGTTTGGAGGCTTGTGTCTGACCGTGGGGGTGAGTCGGTGGAGGTTTCTCACGTCAAAGCGCATACTCCTGCCTCTGCCGTAGCAGAGGGACGGATTTCAGAATGGCAGCGTGTCGGCAATGCCCAGGCTGATCAGTCGGCTAAATGGGGTGCCGCCATGCATAGTGATTCCCTCCAGCTGCGATCTGCGCATGGCGCGTCGCGCAGCGCCATCCGCCTTGTAGCCCAGTTCTGTACCAGGCTGGTCGCTCGGATCGGCACCATCACGCCACGTGACGCCCAAGCGCAAATACTCGGCCGTGCCATAGGCACGATTGAGGGGGGACTTGGTCCCCCGAAGCCGCACTCGCGTTTCGACCCTGCAGTGACGGTGGTTGCGCACAGGTTCCGTTGCATGGTGTGCCTTCGGTCAGCGAGGACACGCTCGGTGCTTCGCCAGCTTCGTTGTGACGACAGGTCCAGCTCCCACGCACTTCACCGCACGGGGCCTTTCCTGTTCTGCTCTCTGTGCGGGGCGTTTTCGGAAAAGAAGTGCCAGGGTCTTTCGCAGGATTGCTTACCGATGAATCGTAGGCAGGGTGTCCTGGTGAGAGACTCGGGATACTACAGGCTGCGCAACCTCATGCGAGGCTGCCATCCTTTACGGGCCCGCGATTTTGTGGGCCCTCCGATTTTGCTGCGGAAGCGAAGGCTGCTGGAGTCGGCCGAACTGCCGCCTCTGCCTGCTCTTTCTCCTCCTGTCGGGACTGGGAGTGGGGGGGTGGGGGTGGGGTGGACGGGGCTGGAGGACTCTCCGCCGCCCGCTTTCCAGGCCGATCTGGCCTTGTGGGACGGCCTCTCTGGCTTTCCCATTGCCAGCGTAGAGGAGGACGACGGCGACCCATCCCAAGGTGCGTGGGATCGGGTCGAATGCGTCCCCTGCGCTGGCTAGCTGTTTTTCAAACGAAGGCTGGTTCGCTTGCGGTCAGTCTCTATCAGAAAAAAAAATCACCACCACCATCATCATCATCATCATCATCGTCATCGTCATCGTCATCGTCATCGCCATCGCCATCATCATCATCATCATCAGCAGCAGCATCATCATCGTCGTCATCATCATCATAATCTTCATCATCGTCATCATCATCGTCGTCGTCGTCGTCGTCATCGTCATCAGCAGCAGCACCATCAGCACCATCATCATCATCACCATCATCATCATCATCATCATCATCATCATCATCATCATCAGCATCCTCTTCATCGTCATCTGAATCTTCACGGTCATCAATATCATCGTCGTCGTCATCGTCGTGGTGGGCGTCGTCGTCGTCATCATTATCCTCATCATAATCATCATCAGCATTACCAGCATCATCATCATCAGCATTATCATCGACATCGTCATCATCATCGTCATAGTCATCTTCATCATAAGAATCTTCATATTCAGCATCATCAGCAGCAACATCATCATCATCGTCACCATCGCCATCGCCATCAACTTCGTCATCATCATCATCAGAATCGTCATCATAATCAGCATCATGATCGACATCATCATCATTATCTTCATCATTATCATCAGCAGCATCATCGTCACTATCGCCATCACCACCATCATCATCAACATCATAATCATCATCAGCATCATCATCAACATCAACATCATCATCACAATCAGCATCGTCGCAGTCATCATCACTATCATGAACATCGTCATCGTCATCGTCGTCATCACCAACATCACCATCATCTTGATCATCGCCATCATTATCATCCTTCTCCTCGTCATCATCATCAGCATCAACATCATCATCACCATCACCATCACCACCATCATCATCATCATCATCATCATCATCAACATCATCATTTTCCTCGTCCTCGTCATCATCTCACCGTCACCACCACCACCATCATCATCACCATCATCACCATCACCGTCGTCGTCATCCTGACTTCTTGCTACTCCGATCCTGCTCGAGGTCGTCCCTCGACGACCGCGCCGCCGCCTGCAGCAGCCCAGGCGATGCCAGGAGCGGAGGCGGCTGACCGATCCTCTCGCCCGTGGTCTGCCTCCGCCGATCCGCCGCGCCGGAGGGGGGAGCGCTCTCCGCGGTGATCTGCCGCGCGATGAGGTCTATCTTGGCCGCCAGGTCGTCCAGCTTGGAGTCGATCTCGAGCGCCTTGCTCTGCCTTCGGGGGCGCGAGAACATGGATTGGCGGCGATCCATGGATTTGGCGCGCGGTCGCCAAATCCATGATCGGGGGAGGTGCCCTCCCCAAAATGCGGCCGGTGCCGCCTCGCTCGGCGGCGGACATCCGCGATTTCCCATGGAAGCGGGACCCGTCGCTAACCCAAGCCCCCTTACTCCATGTTTGCGATCGCCTGATGCCTGCCCCACTCAGACCCACAGGTCCCCCGGGCCATCCTGAGGAGGCCCGCGTAGCAGAGCGACGCCTCCGGCGACGGCTGCTTCGCCTTCTCTGTCGACACGAACGCGCGCCTGGCGGAGAGAGGGGCGAGAGGCGGGACTCCTCCTGGCAACGCCTCCTCCTCCTCCTCCTCCTCCTCCTCCTCCTCCCCCTCCCCCTCCTCCTCCTCTCCTCCTCTCCTCCTCCTCCTCCTCCTCCTCCTCCTCCTCCTCCTCCTCCTCCTCCTCCCTCCCTCCTCCCTCCTCCTCCTCCTCCTCCTCCTCCTCCCTCCTCCTCCTCCTCCCTCCTCCTCCTCCTCCTCCTCCTCCTCCCTGCTCCCTCCCCTCCGAGGGGAAACACACATTAGCATCACCATGCTCTCCGCGGTTCCGCGCGGACTTCCGGGGTCGGCGCTGGACACCGCCCCCCTGGCGTGCGGGGGACGCGCCGGGGGGGGCCCAAGGCCGATCCGTGGAGTCTGCGCGAACCTTCGCCAGCTTCTTCCTATGCAGCTTGTATTTTCCCTCGCCTCCCTCTAAAACGACTCGAAGATCGGGACAAAAACGGATCGGGATAACTCGAAATCTCTGAGAATCGGCGGGTTTGGAGGATGTATTGGGCGCCGCGGCCGCTCCAGAGCGTTCCGGAACGCTCTGAGAGCGCTCCGGAACGCTCTGGAGCGATTTATCCCGATCCTATAGCCCTGTTTTAGCCTCCCTCCTCCGAGGGGCAACGTGGAGTGGGGACCGGCCCATGGGGGCACACGTCGGGCCAGCATCGGCGATGCGTCGCCGATAGATCTGCGATAGGCCCAGGGCAGCGAAGCCACACGGTCCTGCACGGAGCGGGGCCATCGGGCCCCGGTTGGCGACCAATCCATGGGCAATCGGGGGCCGATGCGCCGGGGCCACAGAGCCCGTCCCCCCTCTAACGTCGCCCATGATCCTGCCTCCCCCGCCTCCATGCATGTGCTGGGGGGGTCTGCATGGAGGCCCTCACCGCCATCGCGCTGGGGATGTGGGCGGGTGGGTGCACCCGGAGCGGGAGTCTGGAACGCCGATCCTTTCTGTGCCAAAATGGCGCTGCGGAGGAGGAGCAGGTGGAAGAGCAGCGGCGGCAGGAGGCGTCTGCATGGGCGGCCCTCACCGCCATCGCGCTGGTGTTGTGGATGCGTCCCCCCGCTGAGCCCATCCCCCCCCCTAACGTCGACCCTGATCTGGGCATCCCTGAGGCACGACGCCGCAGCAAAAATGCAACATCGTGGACCACCACGACCGAAGCCCTAGACCTTATCTTCTGCGGCATCTTTCATGTATCAAGACCTCAATGACGCGATGCCACCGCTGGAGATGTGATTATGGAGTCTGCAGGCTGCCCTGTCGCGGGACCGTCATTGCCATTTCTTTCTCCCTGGTGGAAGGAAGACGCTGTCCCGGACGAGGGGAGAGCAGAGGAAGAAGGACGAAATCACACCGTACACTGAACCAAAGTGCCGACCAGTCTTCTGAGGCATTTCTACAGGAGAGAGCGTGATCCACCGCCGCTGTACTGTGGAAAATTCCCCCCCATCTTCCTCCAGAACCCCGGGGTCCCCCCCCCCCTCCGAAAATCCCCCCACTCTGCTGGACCCCCCTCCCTTCCCCCGGCCCCCCCCCCTAACACCCTCCCCCTCCGGAAAACCAGGGGGGTCACTACCGGTTGGAACCTCCCCCCCCCCCCCCCCCCCAGAAAACCAGAGGGGGGTTACTACCGGTTTGAACCCTCCCCCCCCCCCTCCTTCGAAAACCGGGGGGGTCACTACCGGTTCGAACCCCCTCCCCCCCCTTCGAAAACCGGGGGGGTCACTACCGGTTCGACCCCCCCCAGGGGGGCCACTATCAGTTCGAACCCCCCCCCTTCGAAAACCGGGGGGGTCACTACCGGTTCGAACCCCTCCCCCCCCCAACCTCACCGCCAGCAAACGACTCCTGGGTTCCTACCACCGTCCGCACCACATCCCCCGCTGTTGTCCCCAGCACAACTGTCCTCACCACCACTGTCTCCACTGTTCCCACCACCGTCCCCGCTGTCCCCACCAGTGCCCCCACCATTGTCGTACTGGCCCCACTGTCCCCACCACTGTTCCCACCACAGTTCCACTCTCCCCACTTTCTCCACAGCCCCAAGCACCCAAGCACTGTCCCACTGTCCCCACTGTCCCACTGTCCAATTGTCCCAGCCGCTGTCCCACTGAGCTGTCCCACTGTTCCCACCACTGTCCCCACTGTCCCCACCACTGTCCCCACTGTACCTCTGTCCCATTATCCCACCGCCGTCCTCGCCACCGCCCTCACCACTGTCCCCACCACCTCTGCGCCCTCCACTGTCCCACTGTTTCCGCCACATTCCCACTGTCCCCACACCACTGTCCCCACCACCACCGTCCCCACCACTGTCCCACTGTCCCCACTGTTCCCACCATTGTCCCCGCTGTCCCCACCAGGACCCCCACTAGTGTCTCACTGTCCCCACTCTCCCCACCATTGTCCCACCACGGTCCCACTCTCCCCACTTTCCCCACGGTCCCCACCACTGTCCCACTGTCCCCACTGTACCCACCACTGTCCCACTGTCCCCGCCGCTGTCCCGCTGTGCTGTCCCACCGTCCCCACTGTCCCCATCACTGTCCCCCTGTCCCCGCGGTCCCCACCACTTTCCCCACTGTACTACTGTCCCACCACTGTCCTCACCACCGCCTTCACCACTGTCCCCACCACTACCGTCCCCACCACTGTCCGCACCACTGTCCCACTGTCCCCGCACCACTGTCCCCACCACCACCGTTCCCACGACTGTCCTAGCATCCCTACCATTGTCCAACTGTCCGGAGGAGCGGGAAACGTTTGCCGCCGGCGGCGAGGGGGGGGGAAGGGGGGGGGGGGTCGAACCGGTAGTGACCCCCCCTGGTTTTCGAGTGGGGGGGGGGATGGGAAGGTTCGAACCGGTACTGAACCCCCCCGGTTTTCGAGGGGGGGAGGTTCGAACCGGTAGTGACCCCCTCCCTTTCCATGATGGACTGGGGGGGGGGGGAGGGGTTCGAACTGGTAGTGAACCCCCCCCCGGTTTTCGAGGGGGGAGGGACGGGTTGGGAACCCCCAGTGCCCCCCCCCGGTTTTCCGCCAGCAGCTGTGGAACACGCTCTTTCCTATAGCTAATGGAATCGAGGTCGGGTGGTTCCAAGGTACGGCATGACAGAAAGTGCAACGCTCTTAGAAAACACATCACGGAAGCTTTTTGCCGTCCCCATGGCGCCGAATAGCCCACCCAATCGCGAGCAAAACGGGCAAAAGGCATATGCCTGACACGGCGCTAGTGAGCGCTGTTGGTCGCTACTGCGCGCTATGTGAACGCTATTTGAGCGCTGCGGTGCGCTATTGGGCGCTGTTCGGCGCTTGTCGCCGATACCCGCCCGTCGCAAGAAGGATGTCGAAACATGAAGTAGGAAGGCGGATAAAGTAGATTGGGTTCGGGCCGCCCGAATAACAGCAAACACATTGCAACAAGCCGTGCCGATTCTTGAAGTAGGTAGGCGCTCGAAGTAGGCTGGGATCTGAGAATCAAAGGCCGGCGAATGTACGAGTAGGGGATCCATGGGAACTGCGCAGGATGTTCGAAAGATCGACGATGACTCTGCGTATGCCTCGACGGGAAAATCAGGCCTGAGGCACAGGGACTCTGCAGCCGATCCCCCACTCGAGGTATGCATTGGCGGCGCGCAGAGGGGGGGAGGGGGAGGGGGGAAGGCTTCTTCGAAGCACCCCTGCTTCTTAGAAGGTGCGGGCCTTCTCTGTAGATGTAAGGCCGGCGCCTTCTAAGAAGCAGCCTCCCTCTAAGAAGCCTTCCCCCCTCCCCCTCCCCCCCTCTGCTCGCCGCCCAATGCAGTCGGCCCAAGACGAGCAGCAGCTCCCCCTGGCCTACAGGGCCCCACGCCCAGAGGCCTCTCGGGGCCTGGGCAGGGCGAGGCCCGGAGACCGAGCGCGCCCCGGGGAGGCGGGGAGGGGCGAGCCCGGTCGGGACGGCGCCCTCCTGTAACCAGCCTCGAACGTATCCCTATCCCCAAGATGGGCGAGCAAAGCGCGAGGACAATCTTAGGGATAGGCCCTCACAAACTGGGGGTATCCTTGAGATCGGCATCGAGGCGAGGTGATGTCAAACATAGAGATAGGGACATGCTCCAGGCTGGCAGTCCTGGGCGTCCAGAGGGCCGCGCCCCGCGCGCGCGCCGGAGCGGGGGGGGCGCTCGGCAGCGCTGCCGCCAGGCAGGGGGAAGAGAGGCCTCCTGGAGGGGGTCCGAGCAGGCGGGGTCGGAGGGTCTCGCCGCATCGGCGGGGCACCGCCGAGGCACCGCCGAGGCATCGGCCATGCACTGGCGACGTCGGCGATGCACCCGCGACTTCGGCGTGGAGCGGGTTGGGCCCCACATCGGGCCCCATCGCGCCAATGCATCGCCGATGCATCGGCAACGCGGCGCGATCCTCCGAGCCCATCCTCTCCGACCCCATCCAGGAGGCCCAGACAGACGAAGCCAAGACGAGGACACGAGGTGACCGTTTTTTTTCCTTTGCCGGGTGGCGGTCGCTGCTCGGGGGGGTGAGGGGGGGCGAGGTTCGGGCGGGAGGGTCACGGTCATCGCGGCCGCGGTGTGCACCCGCCGGGGTGCACACCGCGCCACCAGCGCACGCACCACTCGCCTGTGTATACACCACAGCATGTGGGGGCAGGGTCCTGGCCCCCCCCCCCCAGTACGATCGTCAGCGTGACCCGGTGGGGGCGAGGGGGTTTGGCCGGGGTAACTCGCGAGCGTTACCCTGGGGAGGAGAACAACACCCACCATCGGGCGAGGGTAAATCGAGAGTCTCTGAAGTCTGGCGGGTGTGCAAGATGCCTCGGGCGCCGAGCGGCCTTCTCAGAGCGTTCCGGGACGCTCTGGGAGCGTTCTGGAACGCTCTGGAACGGATTAATCCTCATCCTACTACCCTCGTTAAAATTAACCTCAACAGTTGCTGGCACATCATTTCGATTTCGGCGCGCCCCTCAATGTCGACACGCCGCCAATTCAATGTCGGGGCGAGGGCAAAGATAGTCTGACCGAAGTTGACTCGAAAATTTGACGTCGACCGACATTGGAGGGGCGGCGCATGCAAGTACCCCGCACTCATCGATATTCGGCCCCAGATCTTCCGACAAGCAGTTCAACCGCGTCAGACAGTTTTGAGATTAATTTTGACGAGGGTTGTAGCCCCGTCCGGCAGGGCGACGTCGGGAGCGTGGTCGGGCCTGGGCAGGATTGAATCGCAAAGCCGAGCCGGAGCGGAAGCGGACTTTCTGCGGCGACGCAGGGGAGCCTCCCATACCATCTTGCTGGCTCTTGCGGGCTGACACTGGTCGACGCTGGTCGACGCTCATCGACGGTACATCGACACACATCGAGGCTACAGTGGCGCCTTCTCATCGATGACTAGACGCTAGTGCACGCAGGTGCGCGCTGAACACGGCATGCCGAGGACCTGCGAGGCTCACATGATCTGCTACCGAATGGATCGGATCACACGACACCGGATCGGATCGACACCGGATCGCGGCGCCGCGCCTGGCTCTGGCTGGCCCCGGCCGATGCCGGTACACCGAAGCGAACCGAGACGAATCGGAATCGCGGGGGCCAAGCCAGCGAATCCAATCGCATCGAAACGGAGGCGGTCCTGATCCTCCCCGGCTGTCGACTCCTCCTCTCTCCTCCTCCTCCTCCTCCTCCTCCTCCTCCTCCTCCTCCTCCTCCTCCTCAACCCCCTCCTCCTCCTCCTCCTCCTCCTCCTCCCTCCCTCCCTCCCTCCCTCCCTCCTCCTCCTCCTCCTCCTCCTCCTCGTCCTCCTCTTCCTGTTCATCCTCTTCCCTCTCCAGGTCTTTCAGTGTTGCAGGCCGTAATACTATGAATCAGAAGGCGTGTGGGCAGGCGAGGAGCAGCCAAGCACCCGCCATAGGTGCCATGCCCTTATTGCTCATCTGCCTGCTGGACACACGGCGCATTCCTCTTCACATCCACCGACCCCGAGAATAAACAGGACATCATATTCGAAACACAGCTGTGTCAAACTGCCCCGCCCAATGGGGAACAAATGAATAATGGACACCTCCACCCCCCAGAGGCTGCCGATAGTCCGATATTTCAGCAAATGCACGTGGACACGGCTATCGATGGCTCTGTTCAAAATTCCGGGTACGGCAGCGGGTGCAGGAGGGCAAGGGAGGGGGAAGGGCGACTAAAAGTCAAGCAGTGGCGAAACGTCTTGACCTGCCTGTAAGCCCACCATCAGATTTCTGATGAGAACCCTCTGTGGTTTATACATATCATTAGTGTCTGGCTGATGCAATTTAGGTCCTGGAAGCCCTGAACCAAAACATGATCGACCCACGAACCTGGAAAGGGATTGAGAACAGCGAGGCATGGACACGCTTCCAAGGACCTCATTTGGGCGATGGGCAATGGCAATGCTGACGATAGGTGATGATTCTCTGCGGGCTGTGTTATGTTCGGTTGCGCTGTGGCGTGCCACACAATGACGCCCCAAGGGACGCGCCAATGCACGAGCCAAGGGTCGCGCCGCGGGACATGCCAGGGGGACGCGCCTCGAAACGTCCCAAGAGACGCCCCAAGGGACGTGCCAAGGAACGTGACGTGGGGACGCACCGCGGGACATGCCAATGGGACGCGATACGGAACGTGACAGTGGACGTCCACGGAACGTGCCAAGGGTCGCGCCGCGCGACGTGCTAATGGGACGCGCCACGGGACGTGCCACGGAACGTGCCAGGGAACGTGCCAGGGAACATGCCAGGCGACGTGCCAGGGGACGTGCCAAGGGACGCGTCAGGGAACGTGCCACGGGACGCGGCACGGGACGCGCCAGAGATGTGCCAAGGGACGCGCCGCGGATCACCTGGCGACTCCTAGGATCTCCGCGATCCGACATTAGCCGATATGTCAAAGGCAACGCGATCCCTCGTAACACACACTGCGTCCGCGCTCCCAATGCCACGACGCCTCGCAAATTACGCTGGGCTCGAGCTCCCACTGCCAAGATGCTTCGCAACATGTGCTCGATCACTGGTACATTGCGCAGGTCTGCCGAACTCTGGGTTTCTTAATTAGCGTGGGGGGTACCCCCTCGACGGGGGTCAACCTCGCCTCGTCGTCGCGCCGCGACAGGGGTTGGAGCGCCTTCGGCGCGCGGTGGCTGCCCGCGACGGGGGTCGATGTGGGGCTGTCGGCGGGTGTGACGCCCCCCCGACGCTTATCAAGAAACTCGGGGAGGGTATGCCGAAGGTAGCGGGCGCAGACGCCCGGTGTGGAACAGCAAGTGGCAACGCCCGGATCCGAGATGGGCGGCGGGGCGGGGAGGAGGGAGGAGGGAGGAGGGAGGAGGGAGGAGGGAGCAGGGAGGAGGGAGGAGGGAGGAGGAGGGAGGAGGAGGGGGAGGAGGAGGAGGAGGAGGAGGAGGAGGAGGAGGAGCCGTCCTGGAGGCCGCCCCCGCCGTCGTCGGAGAGCGGCCCCCCCGTCGCCCTGTGCGCGCCCCCCCCTGCCTTCTGCGCGCCGCCAGCCTTCGGTCGGGCATGTCCCCCTACAGGGAGGGTTTTCGAGGAAAGACAAGAAATAGTCAAACAATGCTCCAAGATAGCCAACAATGCTCCTAAAAACGTCCCGAGACTATCTTTTGACTCTGTTGTTGCTCTGCCTCCTGAGAAGGACAGGCCCGACTCAACGCCAGCCCCCTCCCCCACCACGCAGGCAATCTTTTTGTCGCTGCTGGGCCCCCCAGGCGCCTCAGGTGCAGCAGCAACGGCATCCCAAAGGCAGGGACGCTAGACAGTGACAGCGACGCCACCACCGTCTCGAGATCGAAGTCCGGCTCTCGGTGCCCGTCCCTCCTCCCACCCGTAGACATGCCTGACAAACTCCCCCCCTCCCATCAGCCCCGCTTGACTGCGCGATAGCCTGAGGCGGCCCGTCGATGCCAGCCGCTCCAGAGCGAAGCCTCGGTGATAGCTTCAAGCAAGCAGTTCGTCCGCGGCCCGCGTCCAGAGCGAGGCGGAATCTCGGAAGCCCCCTCGTGGCCCGTGAGAGCTGCATCTGCGGCCGCCCCCCAGGACAGCAAGCAGAGAGCCTCCCCATGGACTTCGTCGAAGGGTTTGTGCCCGGCATGCCCTTGCACGCCGCGCACTTCCCCGAGCGCGCGGCACGGCGATCGGATGCGGCACAGTCCGCGCATTCAGACCTCCTCAGGCCGCGCGCTCCCAGTGGGCTGAGACCGCCCCCGCCCGGGGCAGCAAATATGGATTGGGGCCAGGCCGATCAACGCGATGGGCGGCCAGACCTCTATGGCGATCCACGCCTTAAAGTGCCCTTGATCGACATGGGCACGGACAGTTGGTCCTGTCGGGAGTCCCACGGGTAGCCAGAGCTAAATTAGGAAACAGCTTCTAGGAGGTTTCGTAAGAAGGATTTGTGGCGAATTAGCCCGATCAAGGGACCATGAAGCCGACTTAGAGATTAAGATTGCTAGAACCGAATTAACTGGGATTCAGAAACATTGTGCGGGGTGGTGCCATATTGATCCAGTTTGGGACCACGGATATACGAGCCCCGATGCTGAATTTGACCTCCCAAGAGTTGCATCCTAAGGCAAAGATGCACGAGTTCAAACCACGCACTTCAGTAATTCCCGGGCAGCCTGCCAATCACGCCACGACCTGGGCACTGTCTAGACACATCGGCCCGCAGCAGGTCCAGACACATCGGCCCGCAGCAGGTTCCCAAGGGAGCGTGGCGGGAAGGGGGGGCGGCATGAGGAGGAGGGATGCCTGGGGCCTCTGCTCCCGCGCGGGCTCGCGTAGCCCCGCGAAAGGTTCTCGTGGAGTTTAGATTGTCCAGAGCATGTACTCATCGACCGTCTGGCGGATGCTCTGGATAATCCTCCCGTGCAGGCTCGTGCAGGACAGCTGCTGGCTCGATGTTGACTCCACGTCTCCGAACATGCGCCAGTTGAGCTCATCGAGGTCCGCCTGGTAGGAGGCGTACATTTCGTCGTAAGCGCGGTCTCGCTCCCTCTCCGGCTCCTGCATCGCATCGCGAAACGGCTTCATGTCCAGCTCGAGGTCGGCCAGCGCAGAGTCGCACACGTCGTCGTAGGCGCGGTCTTGCTCGTCCTCGGGCTTCGGCACCATATCGCGAGGCAGCTCTGTGTCCAGCTGCATCATGGGAAGGGCGCTGTCGCCGAGGGCTTCGTAGTCGTAGTCGCGCTCGAGGTCCATGAGCACCGAGGCGCCCTGTTCGCCCATAACCTGGTCGCACAGGCCATCCAGCGCTAGGTCGCAGTGCTGTTCCAAGCTGTCCAGGAAGGCCTGTGGAGGCTTCCTAGATGGGGCCCGAGTAGACGGGGTCGGATGATCGCGCTGAGTCGTCAATGCATAGCCGATGCACTGGCTATGAATCGACGATGCCGGCGATGCATCGGCGCGGTCGGAGTAGAGAGGATCGGACTCCGCATGAGCCGCATCGGCCGATGCATCGGCGATGCGGCGCCACCCTCCGGCCGCATGTACAATACAAACTAACGGTAAGGATGCGCGATGAGGCTGGAAGAGCCCTGGAAAGCCGTGCCGATCCTTTCCGAGCGGGGCGCCGCCAACGACAACGGCCTCAGGGATGGGCCGAAGGGAAAGGCTGCACGGGCAACTTTGGAAGATCGCTCCGCCTTCCTGACAGTGCTTACTGTGCTCCGACCCCATCTGGGATTTGGACGCCCGAAATGGGTACGGAAAGAATGGGCACAATGCCCAACAACAAATGTTGTCCCAAACCAACAGGGGCCGCTGTTGGGCAGGCGGCCTTCTGCCTCGAACGTGCACAGGCCGCGGCGGCGTGGCCCGCGGGTCCTGTTCAAAATGAGCAGGCACTGCTGTTGACCATTGCACCCCTTCTTTCCGTACCCATTTCGCCCGTGCAGAGCAGAGGCCTGGAAGTCGAGCCCCGGGCCGGCTCCGCCGGGGGAGGCCGGCGGCTCGCCGCCGGCGTGCGGCACCGGGGCCGCCGTGCGGGCGGGCGCGGCCGCGGGCTGCTCGGCCGACGCGTGGAGCCTCCACAGCGCCAGGTCGTACACGGAGGTGAACTGCGCGCAGTCATCGCGCTTGGGGGGGGAGGCCGCGGCAGCCCCGGGGAGGTCCGCCAGCAGCTTCTTCGGGGACTTGCTGTTGCTCCGACGGGAGCGCAGATCCTCGCGGGTCCTGCTGTTCCCCCACCACAGCGCGGTCAGCGCGCATGCAAACAGGCACACCTCGGGGGCAGCAGCCGCCGCCAAGGTGTACGCGTCGACGAGGGTCATCGCCATTTCTGGCAGAGGGTGTTGCGATGTGCTTCCCGAGGGTGTGTAGGTCGAGATCGGTTTTGGTTTCTACCAGTGCCAGGACAGCAGGCCTGCGCTTGAAGCCTGGAGCCTTGAGCCAGAGCCATGTCGGGCCCTCCCCGCAGGCCCGTGCTGGGCCCTGAGCTGCTCGTGGGGGGCGCGGCCTGTCGACCTGGCGGGGAACAGATGCCCCAAGAGGAGGAGGAGGAGGAGGAGGAGGAGGAGGAGGAGAAGAAGGAAGGAGAGGAGGGAGGGAGGAGGAGGGAGGAGGAGGAAGAGGAGGAGGAGGAGGGAGGAGGGAGGAGGAGGAGGAGAAGGAGGAGGAGGAGGAGAAGGAGGAGGAGGAGGAGGGAGGAGGAGGAGGAGGAGGAGGAGGAGGGAGGAGGAGGAGCAGGAGGAGAAGGAGGAGTGGACCCCAAAATGCGCCTGTGGAGGCCTGGTGTCGGTGGGGATCCCTCTCCTTCCATGGGGCCCCGCCGACCTGCAGGCGCAGCACGGCCCCGCCGATCTGCGGTCGCAGGACGGCCGCAGGAGCGGGGGGCACGAGAACGAGCCGCTCATCTCTGGGAGCCCGGGGCCCCGTGGAGATTCCCATGACGAGGGCCACTCCAGGGTGGAGAGCCCAACTCACAAAGCACGCAAGGGTGCCCTTCCAGAGCAAGGTCTGTCCTCAGCTCTGGTGCAAGCTGCGCTCGAGGCTGGCTGGAGCCCAGATCCGCGATGGCGTGTTTCTCCAGGGTCCCGTAAACGGGGACTTGGACAGACCAAGACATTGACGCGCCGTGGGTCGGCTGATTCTCCATTATTGGCCCCCTCCAGCTGGAACCTTCAGGGTCCTGATCTGCAATAACTTAGTCTTGCGGGCCCCGACGTTTGTTTACGACGTGGGTTCAGGAGCTCTCGGCCCTCAGATCCCCTGGACGATACTCTTCCCGCCACGGGCTGCTTTTTGCTGATGGCCCCAGGGGCGCAGCACGGGCCTCCAGGGCTTCGAGAACCTACTGACCCGGGTCAATCAGGACCTGGGTCAGTCGCTGCGCAGGACCCTGCAAGGTCCTGCAAGACCCTGCGCGCATGCCCCAGGTCAGTGCACCCCTGGCTCTGCAAGATACTGCAAGATCCGGCGCTCTGACTGACCCCCGCTTGCATTGCAACACCGTCTCTCGAGCCCCGGGGAATACCGAAGCACCGAAAGCAGGCCGCCCCAGAGCTCGCGGCCCCATCCCTGTGGACCGGACCTTCGCCGCGGCCTTCGTTTTCTGATGGCCCTGGGCGCCCGACGCGGGCCATCGGCATTCTCCGCCTTCCCCCCCTCGTCCCTCGTCCTCCTCTCTCTCCACCACGCCTCCCCCGCCTCCTCCCCGTCCTGCTCTTGGGCCCCCTCTCCCTGAGCCACGCCCCTCCTCCTACACACACACACACACACACCACAGCAAGCCGAAGACTCCGAGCGGCTGACCCTACCACCTACAAAAAAGCAGAGAGTAAGCGCCAGAGCTCAAGGAGACACGGAAAAGAGGAGGGAAGAAACAGCGGGAGAACGCCCTCCTGCAGCCTCTCCTCTCCCTCCTCCGCCCTCCCCGTCCTTGTCGCCCTCCATGTTGCGCAGCTCCGCTCCCGCCGCGACCACTCTGTCGTACTCTGGCGCGCTGGCGGCGACGTGGTCCTGGCGTTGCGCGCCCTGCGCTGCGCAGCGCTGGCGCACACACACAAACACACACACACATACACACACACGCACACACAAGCACACACACACACGCACACACGCGCACACACACACGCACACACACACACACGCACACACACACACACACACACCACACACGCACACACACACACAACACACACCGCACACCACACACCACACACCGCACACCGCACACCACACACCACACACCACACACCGCACACCGCACACCACACACCACACACCACACACCACACACCACCCACCACACACAACCCACCACACACCACACACCACACACCACACACCACACACAACACACCACACACAACACACAACACACACGACACTCAACACACACGACACTCAACACCCAACACCCAACACACAACACACAACACACAACACGCACGCACGCACGCACGCACGCACGCACGCACAAACACACACACACACACACACACACACACACACACACACACACACACACACACACACACACACACACGCACAAACACACACACACACACAGACACACACACACACACCACACACACACATACACACGCTGCGCAGGAGGCGCGCAGGGGGCGTCTGGATCGGGCCTTGAGGTGGGCCCCCTCGAGGAGGCAGAGGAGCATCGTTCATGGCTGGCTCTTGGTGCGTAGGAGCGGAGGTCCCAGAGTATGAGAGTGATGATGGTCACGCGGATGACAACAGCGAGGGGGAAGATGATGGGGATCAGAGGGAGGGGGGTACGTGGAAGGGGGGGACAGAGGAAATGTGGGGAGAATGAAGGTGGGGGAGCAGAGGGGGGAAAGCGGAGGAGAACGGTGGGGGTGGCAAGAAGGGATACGGTGCGACAGTGGGGAGGATGGGAGGAGGTGGCAAGAAGGCAGGGAAGTGTGGTGGGAGGATGATGTGGGAGGACGGGGGAGGTGGGAAGAAGGGGAGATGTGCGGCGGAAGATTGGGGAGGATGTGAGGCGGACGGGGGCGAGGCGGAAGCGGAGGGTGGGACAGGGACGTTCCGTGGGCTCCTGGGCCCGCCGCTCCTGGAGGCCATGCGTGGAGAGTGAAGGAGGAGGACGAGGACGAGGATGAGGAGGAGGAGGAGGAGGAGGAGGAGGAGGACGAGGAGGAGGATGAGGAGGAGGAGGAGGAGCAGGAGACAGGGCGGGAGGTGGTGGTGAGCTAGTGGTCGGTGCTCTATCTCCCTCTCTCTCTCTCTCTGTCTCCCCTACCTCCGTCCGCCCTCCGGCCCGACAGACGGGGCCGCGGCGGCAAGGAGACGAGACGGAACGAGGGCGCCTCCTCCTCCTCCTGCTCTTTCTCTTTCCCCTCCTCCTCCCCATCCGCGCGCGCGCCACACGAACCTCATGTGGGCCCCGTGGAGGACTTCACCGACGCGCCAAGGGCCCCGCGGCAGGGAAGGGCGCGAGGGGCGGGTAGAGGGCAAACGCTGCAACGAGTTCGTCACCTCATGTTGCATCCTCGGGGGGCCTGGCCTGTCCCGTCGGGGGGCCTATCCGCGTCGAGTCCGTGTCGAATCCCTGTCGGATTCCGTCAGATCCGTGTCAGCTCCGTGTCCAATCCGCGTCGGGGTCACGCCAAATCCGCGCCGAGCCCGCACCGACCTCGCGTCGGGGACAAGAGAAGACACCTGTGTCGGGGCCTCTCGAGAAGCGAAAACGGACAATTCACTAATCGACGTGTCAGGGTGGGGGTTCTGTCCACCCCCGAAATGAGGGGGGGCGAAGATGGGACGCACAGAGACATACTAATACTACATGTGTTCCTTGGAGGCGCGGGAGCCCTGCAGACGGATACGGCGGAGGCGTCGAATCAGGAAGCCTTGGATCAGGAGTCCGGGGTCTGGAAGCCAGTGCAGCTCCAATCAGGCGTCGGCCAGGGGTATCTCCAAGTCCGAGGCCTCCTGGGCACTTTCCTTAAAGCAGTGCCCCCCCCGTACTGGTAGCGCGTCGCTCCGCCCCGCGGGACGCGGGACGGGGGGCTGGGACAAGCTCGGGACGGTGGCGCCGAGAGGCTGGGACGTGGTTGCTGTCGCGCAGCAGCGTGGTGGGTCAGAACCGGCGGCGCGACACGCGAAGGAAAGGATCCCGACCTTGGAGGGTGCACCGCCAAGGGGGGGGGTAGGACCCCCCCCCCCTCCCTCCCCCGATCCGTCGTCGGGGACCCCCCCCCCCTCCCCCCCTTCCCCGATCCGTCGTCGGGGACCCCCCCCCCTCCCCTTTTCCCCGAGCTGTCGTCGGGACCCCCCCCCCCTCCCCCCTTTCAAAGGGGGAGGGGGTCCACCCCCCCCCCCCCGCAAGCCCCCCCCCCTTCCCCCCTCTTTCGCCACGCTTCCCCTGACTCCAGAACCCGACCCCCGCCACCCTAACCCCTAGTCCCCACCCTAACCCAAACCCCTAATCCTAACCCCAACAACTAACCCGAGCCCCAAAGAATACTCACTACTCATTACTCACTACCCACTACTGACTACTCGCTATTCGCTACTCACTTCTCACTACCCCCTACTCACTACTCACGACTCACTACTCACTACCCACTACTCACTACCCACCACCCACTACTCGCTACCCACCACTCCCTACTCACTACTCCCTCCTCCATACTCACTACACTACTCACTACTCACTCCTCACTACCCACTATTCAACACTCACTACTCACTAAGCACTACTCCCTATTCCCTCCTCACTACGCACTAATCACTACTCATTACCCACTACCCACTATCCACTACTCACTACTCATTGCCCACAAATCACTACTCACTACCCACTACTCGCTACTCGCTACTCCCTACACAATACTGACTACACAGTACTCAGTACTCACTACTCGTTACTCCCATACTCGCTACTCAATACTCACTACTCACTCCCCGCAACTCACTATTCACTACTCACTACTCCCTACTCACTAGTCACTACATAGTCTCTAGTCACTAGTCACAACTTACAAGTCACTCGTCACTCGTCACTACTCACTACCCACTACTCACCAATCGCTACTCACTACCCACTATTCGCTACCCGCTTCTTACTACTCACTGCTCACTACTCCATACTCCCTACTCCCTACTCCCTACTCCCTACTCACTACTCGCTACTCCCCACTCGTTACTCACTAATCACTACCCACTACTCACTCTTGACTACTCTCTACTCACTACTCACTACGCCCTACTCGCTCCTCACTACTCACTGCTCGCTACCCCCTACTCGCTACTCACTACTCACTACCCACTGCCGATACCCACTACTCTC